CGGATACTGAGTCTCTGCGTCGGTCAGGGATTTGCTGGTATAATATATAGGATGGTGCTGATCCTACTCTTCCTTCAGGAGCATCGAGCCGATGACTGTTTCTGACACTGCTAAGTACATGATTAGCTTGTCGTCAGGGAGTGGCTTGGCCAGTAGTGGAGCCGAATCGAGGTAGTCTTTGAGTTGATCGAAGGCCACCTGACATTCTGGAGTCCACTCAAATATTTCTCTCTTCCTGAGGACTTTCAAGAACGGGAGACATTTATCGGTGGATCTCGAGACGAACCAGTTCAACGTGGCCACTCGACCGATGAGACATTGGAGTTGCTTCAAATTCTTGGGAGGCTCCATCTCCAACACTGCCGGAATCTTATCGAGATTGGCCATGATGCCCTTCTGGTTGACCATGAAGCTGAGGAACTTTCCCAATGCGACACCGAAGGCACACTTCTCTGGGTTCAGCTTCATGCCGTAGCGACGAAGAATGTCGAAAACCTCAGTCAGGTCGGTTATATGTGAGCCGAGCTTCTTGTTTTTAACCAACATGTTATCCACGTAAACCTCCATATTCCTGCCGATCTATTTTGCGAACATCATGTTCACCATGCACTGATATGTGGCCCCAACATTCTTCAACCCAAAGGGCATCACTTTGTAGCAATAAAGCCCTTGGTCGGTCACGAATGAGGTGTGCTCTTGATCATGTACGTGCATCTTCATCTGATTGTAGCCTGAGTACGCGTCTATAAAAATAAGTATTTCGTGGGCAACGGTGGCATCGACGAGCTGATCTATCCGAGGTAGAGGGAAGCTATCCTTCGGACATGCTTTGTTCAGGCTTTGTTAGATAGCCATGCGGGGTAGTGAACTTCATTTATAAAGTCAGCTCGTAAGAGCTTATCAACTTCCCTAGAAACTACAAGGCTACGCTCAACATTGACAGGTCGACGCTTTTGCTTTACAGGTCTAAAAGAAGGATCTACATTAAGCCTATGAACTATGATGCTCGAGTCGATGCTGTTGCCCGAACGGGTCCGGTATGCCCCCAATCGCGGACCAGGTCTGCTCGTCGCTGGGCGGACGGAGTTGGAAGCGGTGGGAACTGATCCCCGCCCAAAGCCTGAACCTGGGGGTTCGGGTGAGGTTGGAGGTCCACCTAGGCAGCCTCAGCTCGCCCAATCCCTCATTGGGCCCCAATTGGGACCCGATTCGTTGGAGTATGGCTCTTGCCCTCTAGAAGCATTGGGAGACGATCTCGGGAGGTTCCGACGACCTGAAAGTAGGTGGGTATGGAATAGGTCGGGCAAGTACGCTCGCTATTGCCGACAAGTGCGGGGATGTGGGAGAGCTGAGAACGTGTAGTAACTGTCATCTCTTAGTTCAGGTGTTGATAGGAAATGACTTGAGAAATTAGTCTCTCCCCACAAACGGTGCCAAATGTTAATCAGAAAATTGCTCTAACTTCGCGAACGTCAGCTCACACAGAATGAGCTGAACTGTGATCTCCACGAAACGGACTACAAGGCAAAGTGAGCATTCCGATGCCAAAGACAGTAATAGTCTGAGCTAAATCGAGAGAGAATCAAAATGTTCGCGTACCTTCAAACGAGGAAAATGATCCTATTTATAGGTAGAATCTCCGACAACGTTCCCGACACGACTTCAATGACTCTTTAAGGTTACCGTGAAATGCGGCGTACTGTCGTAGAGTATGTTAGAGGTGTGACCGAGCCGAGGTAAGCCAACTGAGTAATGCACTCTCGCAAGAACGTAAGTTAGAGGGAACTTGTTCGGCTCGGCCACCGATGGTGTCAACTCGACAAAAAGGATGGGCCGAGGTATAAACACAACCAACGCGAGCCACGTGTCATGCTTTGCATTCATCCAGTGCTTGCCACGTGTATGCTGAGATCTACCTCCAACACCCATTTTTGCTAGACGTTGACAACAGAAAGAAGAAGACCCATCGGTTTTCAAAAGGAGCTAAAGGATACTTGACTATCTCTCTATTATTTTCACAAGAATGAGTTGTACTTATTGACTCTTTTTCTTTTATGTTTCCCCAACCCCCATGAGCTAAACTTCATTTCAGGTGAAATTGTAAGCTTAAAACTGTGAACTGTAGTACTATAGTATGATTTCTTAATTGTTAAGAAGTACAATTTATTTTTATTCTTTCATTTTTCTGAATTTGTTGGCCACCATTTTCAGTCTATTAGGTTTTATATTATTTTGAAAAATATATGAGATGCTTTTTTGACTTTACTTGTTAGTTTACATTTCTAGTTAGATTGTGAATGCTGAGGAATAAGATCTACCTAATTTTGCTTATACATTGTTTTGTATGCTCGATTCTAGCCACAGAAGTTATATATGCAGAATTGTATCTGGATGTTTTGGAAGGAAACAAAGTCTATTTGAGCAACAACTAGAAATCGATGTTATATCTATTAGGAGTACTTAAAGCACTATCATTCTGCCCTATTTGAGCAACAACTAGAAATCGATGTTATATCTATTAGGAGTACTTAAAGCACTATCATTCTCCCCTGTTTCTATTTCACTGTTACAAGTACTCTTTGCGATCATGTCCCAGCATTACTTGATTACAGCATTTACCATTATTTCAAGCATTTTTTTTTTTGTGTAATTATTTACCTAATTTTCTGTTAGCTGCTATTTAATATTTCAAGTTATTAGAGTTTGAGTTTATTGGTATTCTTGGGTGAGTATTGAAGTGTTAATATCAATCCTTTATGGATTACGACCTTATTTCATTACTATAACTGATTTTCGGTGTATACTTGTACCTATTTTTCTTTGAGTTGAGTGAAGGCAACACATAGCTATACTCTCGATGGTGAACGAAACTCTAAAGTACATAGTATAACACAACAAAAAGTTAATACTATTATACTGTCAATCAAGAGCTAAAGGAAATGCTAAACTAGAGTTAACCTGAAATAGAATTATAACAAACCAATAATTTGAAATCTTGGATGTTTGGAGAGCTCCTCAAAGTATATAAAGAGAAGTTCTAATGTTATCCATGATCTTGAAGTTTACTTCAAGAGATACTTAAGATGAACTCGTTCTGAAAACGAAAAGTTGGTTGAAAACACACACATGAATGGGCACAAACACACTTACTCACACACGCATGCACACACACAATTCAAATTACAAAATTAACCGTCCAAGTTGTAGTTGAAGTTCACATCCTTAAACAAAAGTAGAAGGCATAACTACTCTCATGGTTAATAGGACTGTAAAGTACGTAGTATAACACTACACTAGGGGTGATCAAACATAACCGAAAAATCAATTCGATCAACTAAAATCAACCGAATCAACGTCTGTCAGTCGATTTAGCTAATTGTGTTGGGAAGAAAAAATAATATAGATCAATCGATACTCCTGTAAGTTCTAGAAAAAGGAACTATTTGATTTTCCCCTTCCATACGCTAACAGTAGATACGTAAGTAATAATAACAAAGGAATAAGAGATATGGATAGAAAAGCTTAACACCATAGGGATTATACTGGTTCACCTCTATCTTGGGACTACGTCTAGTTTTCTGCAAAAAAACAGGTTCAACTATAGTTGGGAATATTACAATGGAGATCTCACTCAAGATATTACTATCTTGCTTCTAAGTACCTTAACAATTGTTACCTAGGATTACACAATTGGAAATACCCTCACTAAACCCACGAGATTCAAACTTTTTTTCATACACTGTCCACAACCACTCAAGTCTCTCTTATTTGGACTCTGTACAAATGAAACCTTAACAAAAGGGTTCTATTTATAAGAGGTCAAATATTTCAATCCTTATAGGAAAACAATATTGTAATCTTTATAAGACAATAATATCCTACTCCTGGTAGGAATTGGTAGTAGTGTTTGAAAAACTTTTTTCTCGTAGGACACGAGCCATCTGTTTTGGCTCCATTATCCCAACAAATAGCTCATTAATCCCTTTTATGACAAACCACTAGTAGAAATTCGGTTTATCGTGACGTTTTTTTAACGTCACAAAAATCTTTCGTCACGTATACGCCCATCACGAAAAGTATACGTGACGTTTAAAAAACGTCATTAAAATTAGCACACGTGACGGTTAAAGACGGTCATATAAAATATAGACTTCCGCGATGTTCATTAAACGTCATTAAAAATTATTTTGTGACGTTGTAAGAACGTCACAAATAAGACATTTCGTGACGTTTAAACAAAGTCACCGTAAATGAGTAACCGTGACGACATTTGATTTCGTGACAGTTATACAACGTCACGGAAATACCTTGAGAAGCGAGGAAAGGTTATGTGACATCCTTTCATGACGTTTTTTATATGTCACAAAAAAAATATTTCATGACGTTCAATAATTGTCTTAGAAACATTTTTGTGATGTTTTAAAACGTCGCGAATGATTTTATTTTGTGACAATAAAAAAAATCACAGAAAATATATTTGATTTTACTTGCAGATGTCACGTAATAGAAATATCATATAATGAAATTGTCGATCGAACACGCAAATATATTAATTTAGATAACAAAGTTGAAATATATTAAACATGAATAAGGAAGCTAATATATTAATTTAGAATATATTAGTATTCTCAAAGTATTCTCGGACTTGCTAGTACATTATATTAAACATGTTCAAATTCCTACAAACACAA